CTTTTTGTCTGTCCGCTAATCCTTCCCTGCTATAAACTGGAAAGTGCCAATCAGTTTTTGATGAAATTTTGATAAAAGGATGAGACTACGCTAAGGACGAAAAAGCTTTTTTTACAACGAAGCAGCCGCGCAGGCAGAAGCCTAAATGCCAGGACACCCAAAGAAACTTAGTTATCCCGATTTTTTAATTGCCTAAGGTTAGTAGAACTGAAAAAGCATAATCTTGTAGATTGTTCCACAATCTCGTCAAAGGAGCGGTCGTATCGGCCAGGTCTGGATGTAACAAAGTTCGACATGGTTAGGATGGAAGGTCGGAGTCAGGCATGTCTGGCTAGCAGGCACATCGCGCGACGGCATCATGGAGGAAAGCTCTGATGAGTAAAGCCCGTTGGTGAAGCGGGAGAAAAGAACTAGATCGCCGACGGCCCGTCCGTGCGAAAGGGTTCCTAGACTCTCTGTTAGAGAAGAGTCATCGATCAGTTGGACAGCCCTGCTATGGGCAGCGTCGAGCATGGATAATGTAGTCGGGGCGGTAGCACCCCAAACGTGTGAGAAATATTCGAGGCTAGGTCTTATACAGGGTGACTATGACGTTGAGTCATTAATTTTCAGATAATGATTGTAGAAGGAAGATAAACCAAAATATGTGTGTAAAAATAAAAAAAAAATTAAAAAAAATTTTTACCTTGTTTTATAAAGTATCCTCCCGACAAGTATTTCAGTGCGGACCTGTATTTGATCGTGAGGTCTTGGAGCACCGGCATGCCGTCCATATGTGAGGTCTTAAGTCAAATGATTCACGAACCCGTTGTACTACATTAACAAAGGCACGAGGGGTTGGTTGCACTCGATTGGGAAACCGATCCGCATAAACATGTGCCATTTTTTATTTCGTTTGAGCCACGCAACAGACACCACTATCCACTACCGACTGACACTGACTGTATACAACTGAATGAAATAATTGTAAAAACATCGTTCCAAATTATTTCGCTTTTTTGTTTCCGATGCGATGAACCGATAAGGCGAATTATATCCGTTGTCGCCAAACACGAGCACATAATATTATTATTGAGACAGGGCGGTACTCAAACTTCCAAAGGGCTATAACTTTGTTACTTTAATTTTACCAGAAAAATGGTAAAGGAAAAAAACATTTCTTTTGATCAGATCTACTCACTGTTAAAATAAATGACTCAACTTCGAAGTCACCCTGTATAGAGAGAAACAAATAAACTAGCTTTTTCCAGCAGCTGCCGCTATTGACGCGATGTGTTCATGCTAGATCAAGTCCTGATCTGGTGAAATGCACCGCTCTTTGGCAGAACTCTTCCATCCTTTGAAACCAGATGAACATTAGGACATTTTTTGTTCGTCAAGATACTGTGTTTTGGAAGCATTTAAACTGTAATAGATTGTTACGTCCCAAGAAGTGATAACCTCCAAGTCTGTCGTCAGAGAGGAAGTCGCTGCTAGTCTTCTTTTTTCCAGCTCACCGGCAGAGATCGGATTGTCGCTCTGAATTCCTGCATGTATAGTGCTGTCGTCAGCAAAGCTGTGGATTGGATTGATCGTACAAGAGGAACAGTGTTGGAGCCAAGACCGATCCCTGGGGAATACCGCGTTGACGTTGTGAGATGAAGAGGAGAACCCGTCAGTTACGATGGGTATCTTGCGGCCAGAGAGAAAGTTAGCCAACCATCTGCAAAGCTTCTCTGGGAGGCGATAGGATGGAAGTTTGCATAAGAGGACAGCGTGCCACGGCCGATCCAACGCTTTCGTGATATCAAGAGTAACGACATGAGTCTCACAATAACATTGGATGAGATTACTCCACAAATGCTTTGTAATTTTTGAAAATGGATCCGGATTTTTGTAACGGTTGAAAATTGGAGGGTGGAGGATGTGGAAGGCAGTGGAGAGTATTCTACAACTTTTTGGCGCTAGCATATTTATATCCTTCCAATTCATGTAATTCTGCTAGACAGATTTCATACTTACTTATAGTTAGTCGTACATTTGCCACTAAAATCCAAAATGATATAGAAATATTTACAAACACACCTGTCCCCGGAAATGCAGCGAACGTAGATGTATATCTGCATCGAGGTCTGACCTACGTCTGGCCGATGGGTGGCTGGCGAGTGGCGATGTTAGTCATAGCAACGGTGCCAGATGGTCGGTACTGTCGACAGGACAGATGCGACATTTTTAGATGGCAACGTCCTCAAACGGCTGGGGACTATGAACTAACTTTATGGGCCTATACTCGTAGCTAACCTTTTTCAGGTAGGAGCAAACTAGTGCTGGCTTTCATGAACTGCTGACAGGGTTGCGTGGGAAATGCAGAGTCACCTTACGCGATGCCATTTTTTGTTCTAATTTCAATATGTTATTTTTGTAAAGTGCAAAATGTATCGGAACTGTCGTTTACAAATCGACTACAAAAATTTTTAAACCCACACACACAGTCTGTCTACCTATATTTTTTGTGTGGCCTTATTATTAGTAAGTAGGATAGCTGAAAAAAACGGGTGGTAGGTAATTCAATTACATCGTGAAGATTATGCATCGAAACATATTTTCTTTTTTATGCACGTCATAATTATGTGCATATAGATCATAACTCATCCTGGCAATAAACTTCATCCCTAAATAGTAAAGATTAGATAAAATATGAACGATGCGTTAGCGCATTGCACATATCATCTCGTTGTCTAACGGATTTTGTTTCATATTGAATGAGGCATTGCAAATGGAAAAAGTTCGGAACTAAAACCATTATTCCTGCATCGCCATTGTTCTTTCTTTAAGCTTGAATGAATACCTCAAAATGCGGAAATATAAAAATGTGGCAGATTGATCCGATTAGTGATTTAATTTAGGGCATTATAGTATTACTAATCCCAAGAGAAACCGATGAAAAATCAGGGACGCCTAAAATTTCGCGGAATACTAAACAAAGAGATGGTACGACAGATCAAAAAAAAATCTGAGTTGCTCTCCGTAGGCTTCGGATTTTTAGTTATCAATTAGATCAACATCTCTAATCACCTTCTAATGACAGTATCTGTATAGGGTATTCTTAGAGCTGGGACTCCCCTTTACAGAGAGTAAAGGCACCAAGGCATTAATATAACCGAGATATTAAGCTTCAAAAAAATCCGAGTGGGTCAGTCGGACCCTGCAACCAACGCGAAAAGGTACCATGCGCCGCGCGGTGTGTAGGTTAACTTATTTGTTCATTTGCAAATCGGATTCGAAAAAACCGAAATTGGCACATTCCTATAGCAAAAACAAAGTTCCAGATTTGTTTCTTTTTTGTTTACCCTGAGTGTGTACTGTATTCAGATCGTTCTACTGGATAGTTCCATCCCGAGCTGGATATGTTTATTTACATAATGCAAAGACCCTCCAAGTGAACTCAGTAGAAAACCTAGACAACCCCAAATATTGCTTTAGGAAGAGGAGCTTTTATTTTTGAGAAGTTTTTACGAGCAAAACATGACAGGGCAGTACTTTTCTCCAATTACTTTTATACGTTTTCAAGCGTCGTTGTTTCTGAAAACAAAAGTCCCAACTTTCAGGACACAATGTATAAAGTAAAGAAATACTAAACTGTACCAGTATATATTTATAAAGTATGACGACACTTGTTTTTTGCGGTTTTTTGTCCGAAATTTGAGAAACGCTAAAGTAAGGGAAGAAAAGAGGGGATTTAATTTTTACAAAAACTGACTCAGAAGGAGGGGTATGTTTTTCGCGCATGGTTATGCATGTATGTGGACAAGATTGATTCTATTTTACGGGATATAGACAAGACGGTTCGATGGACTTTGGCATATGAAGTGTTGTTAGGTTGGCCTTAGCAACGCGAGTAACACTGGATAAATCTTATAAAATCGCGTCCATTTTTGCAGTTCATTTTATAGCCGAGAAATTCAAAATTACTTTAATTCTGGATATTTTATTTTACTTTTACTGTCACATTAGTCTCTTTAATGTTTTTGGATTGATCTTGCAGAAAAGGTGTAAGACATGCCGATACACACATAGAAGAATTTTTGGGGTAAATACAAGAATATTTGTTAGAAGAAACTAGGATATGTACAAAACTAACAATACAACATACAGCTATGGTGGGGTTTTAATGATGCAGTCTAAGCATACACACACAAAACAAGGTTATTCATAGGAAAATATAGAAAACATTATAGAAAAATGGGGAGTATTTTAATGTAATGTATTTCATAATAATAATTAATACAATATATTTAACCTAAAAAATACGTTCTATTTCTTTTTCAAGAGATCGTTCGATATCCTCAGTAGAGTGTCATTGACAAAATTTTGTTTTAGAGTAATTATCCCACCATTGTTAACCTTAAAAAACGTCTAATTAAGTTCTTGAGTTCGGTACATAACAGTTAAAGATTTTAATAGACCGTCAGTACGGTGTTCGATCGATGGTTACCTCTCACTTGGACATCTTAAGCTGCCGTCAAATAAAAATTTTTAAAACCTCCTTTATGAAATGAGGCCTTTCCACTCAATGAAAGACTGGGGTAAATTTTTTGTAGGAATCACATTATATTTTAGTCCACGATAACCTTTTGGGGTGTAATGAATTAACTTGATAGTCACTTGGGCACAAATGTTTTCAAAAAAAAAACATGGGGATGTCTTTCCACCACTTTTGCTAAGGTTAGGGCATTTAGACGAAATAAAAACATAATGTTTAGATTGGTGGAATCACATTTCACAACACATCACATTTTCATCAGTTAGTTAACCAAACAGGATCTAAGAACTATCAAAAACTAAGAAAAACGCACAGTTCGCAGGGTTAGGAAAACGCGAACAACTCTGTAAGTGTCGATACGTGCGAAAATAAGGACCGCCCACCATCCGCAACATTATACCTTCAAAGTACGTGTATCGTGAGTTAAATATTCTACTTTGTTACACATATTTACGAACATACACGTATGCTCACCTACCTCTGGACCTCCTCCCCCGTCAGCCTTTCCTGCTTGGGTGTGCTCACGTTATACGATTGGTCATTGATGACCAATTTGAAGTCATCATCCAATAATGTCTCTACCGTATTACTAGCGGCTATCCGAACGCCGTCTTTGGTCATACACGTCGCCCTGTCGATGCCCTTATCCTCTTTTTTCAGCATTTCGAGAAAGTCGCCTACGGTGTTTGTGATAGGCTTTAGGGTAAAGCGACATCGCTCTTTTCTGCTGGGCAGGGGAACGGTGATCTGGGGTAGGCCGCGGTGATACGCTACTGATACTTCGCCTGCAAAGAAAAGCATGGTATTAGGTTCATAAATGAAGTATTTTGATTGAATGTTCAAGGAAAGACAAGTAGGCCAGGCAATAGGAAGATTATGTATCCGGAAATGTTTTGGCTGTATTGTTAGATTATTGCTACCTAAGGATAAGTTCATATTGGCATCATGATAGGGCTGGATCATTTCCCGCCATTTTGATAAACGCGTTTGATCTAGAATCTTGGAAACCATCGGTCGCATGTGAGAATGTGTTATAAACATTTTGTAAGAAATTAAATTCATCATTTTGCTTCTATAAAAATTTGTCGTATACTCAAAAGTTTACGAGAGTACTTTTAACGATATTCCTGTATACAGAGTGTTCGTTAATGATATGCGAATATTTAAGGGTGTGAATCTATATGAAAAATTAATGTTAGTTTACTATGGTCCAACACTGTTTCCTTACAAAAACTCGGGGTGTTGAAGTTTTAGGAAAAAAATGGAAATTAATTAATATTTTCAGAACCGCTCCAGATATTTCACTGATATTTAGCATGTAGTGAAAATTAATAAAGTTGCATATTTTTCAATGCAAAAATAATGTTTAGCTTTAACAGTGACGCGCGTACGGGTAATGACTTCGATGTTTTTTAAGAAAAAAATGGTACGCCAATGGTTTTTTACCAAATAAACTTTTGAATTCTCCGTTCAGTTTAAAACAAATGATCTCTCCTGAGTTGCTTTCCTTCGATGCGCAATTTTTGAGTAAAAAAATAAAAACCGTTCTATAGTCCGAGAAAATTAATGTAATAATTGAAGAATGCAATTTAGCAATAAATATCTGGTTGCTCTGGAATATGTCACTGGCTTTTGACATCTTTGGGAGACATAGAAGTACCACGTATTTTGAGACTCAAAAGAAGTCGACTGGACATGACTTATCTCTATGTAAAAGTGCTTCGTTTGATCGTTAGAAGGCGCTAAAGGTTTCTTTTTAAAACAATTTTTTTAAGATATTTCAAGTTTTTATTTGAATGAAATTTGGAACATATGTTTTGCTAAACGTTTTCATATATAGGACTTTTACGAAAAACTGAAGGGAGAAGGGTGGACACGCACCCCACATATAGCAGAATTTTGTGCAGCTTTTCCTGGATTCTATTTTTTTTAATTAGCAGATTTTTTATTTACTTCATTTTTTGTCTCTTATAGAAACAGGCAATCTTGGATATATTTTGAGAAAAAAAAAGTTGCATCAAGAGGTTCCCAGGTGTCTGATTAATTCTTTAAGTGTAGTTACCAGAAATAAGCAAGTATGCGCTTATTACAATGTTATTTAATACAAGCAATAGTGCGAATATTTCACAAAATATGTTCAATATGACCAATTTCGTTCCTGCACACAAAACAATGTGGTGCATAAAATTTTAACACTTCATGTAATAAGAAACTTTTTTAGAAACCAAGACTTAAAAAAATGTTTTTTGTCTCGAAAAGAGTGTGATATGGTCTGTTTTTATAGGAGATAAAAAAATAACTAAAAAAACAGAGTTCTTGGGAGAGTTGCTAAAAATTTAGCTACAATTTATGTAGGGGTGGGGGTAGTTTTTACCCTTCTCGAACTCTTTTGTTTTTTTTGTAAAAGTCAAATATTAGGACGTCTACCATAACACATATGTTACAAATTTCATTCAAATCGGACTATCAGTTCCAAAAATGTCTAAAAAAATGTGTTTTCAAAAGAAAACTTTGACGCCATCTAACGGACAAACAAGCACTTTTGAATAGACGTACATCATATCCAATCGACTTATGTTGAGACTAAAAATACATGTTACTTCTAATGGGTGATTTTTTTGCTAGTATCTTTTTGGCAACACTGTTTTTGACAGATGACGCGTGAATCGTGTCTTGTGTCATTGTCAAACTTGTTCAGTTTGGTCTATAATTTAACCTTGAATCGACTTACGAACGAACAACGCTTGCAAATTATTGAATTTTACTATCAAAATTCATGCTCGGTTAAGAGAGTGCATCGAACACTGCTTCTAATTTATGGGCAATTTGGTCGGCCTACTGAGGGAGCTATTCGGAAGCTTGTGACTAAATTGCGAACCCAGTTTACATTATTGGACATTAAACCACCAACACGCAGACGTAGAGTAACGACTGAAGAAAATATTGCGGCTGTATCCGCCAGTGTTAGTGATGACCGTGAAATGTCGATTCGCCGCCGTTGGCAGCAATTGGGCCTCTGTTACTCCACTACGTGGAAAATTTTGCGACAGGATTTGGGTGTAAAACCTTATAAGATACAGCTGGTGCAAGAATTGAAGCCACACGACAACCCACGTTTCCAGTTTGGTGAATGGGCGCTGGCAAAGTTGGAGGAAGATCCACATTTTTATCGAAAAATTGTGTTCAGCGACGAAGCTCATTTCTGGTTGAATGGGTACGTTAACAAGCAAAATTGCTGCATCTGGAGTAAAGACCAGCCAGAAGCATTGCAAGAGCTACCAATGCATCCCGAAAAAATCACTGTTTGGTGTGGATTATGGGCCGGTGGCATCATCGGGCCGTACTTCTTCAAAGACGACAATGGCCGGAACGTAACTGTGAATGGCGAGCGCTACCGTGCGATGATAACAAACTTTTTTTTGCCCAAAATGGAAGAGCTGGACTTGGCTGACATGTGGTTTCAACAAGACGGTGCCACATGCCACACCGCACACGAAACAATGGCCCTAATGAGAGGCGAGATCGGCGAACAGTTTATCTCACGTTTGGGGCCCGTCAATTGGCCGACTAGATCGTGTGATTTAATGCCGTTGGACTATTTCTTGTGGGGCCATGTTAAGGCTAATGTCTACAGGGATAAACCAGCAACGATTGACGTACTGGAAGCCAATATCGAAGCATTTATTCGTGAGATACCGGCCGATATGTTGGAGAGAGTGTGCCAAAATTGGACCTTGCGCATGGGCCATCTAAAGCGGAGCCGCGGCCAACATTTACATGAAATAATCTTTAAACATTAAATTATATCGACCGTTCTGTCGACTCAAATAAAGATTTAATCGTTTTTTCAATTTTTTTGTGTTTTTTTGAAAATCAAATCCTATACCTCTTAAAAAATCACCCGTTATGTCCACGGAATATAGGAACACCCTGAATATCCTACCCTAAGCCAGATTATATAGACTAGATGCGAACTGGTTGGAACTCGGATACACATCAATAAATTCATTCTCACTAAAATTATACAGTGTATTTTATTTGAAAAAATACAAATTTATTGGATAGCACTTTTCTGAGATACTGGAAACCTTCATAATGGACACTACAGCAAGTTAGAGAGGGACACCCTGTGCACATTTAACGAACTACCTTCCATCCAAGCATGAATAGGTCATGAGGATTGCGCTCCTCGACCTTATAGGAATGTAATCAGATCCACGAAGCACTAGCAAGTTGCGATACCGGGATTCCAGGTTCCGGAGAAATAATCCGGGCACCATTTACCGAGCGCTTCCGAGAGAATTCAATTATCATTTCCCAAGTACCTCGATACTTACTTCTATTAGGAATTTATATTTCATCGGTGTACCGGAACCGTGGATAGAATTAAGACAGTAATCTAAGCATGGTAAGAATTTAATTGTATAAGAAACACAAAAAGGAGGATTAACCCTTTGCAGCCAGCTCCGTCTTTTTATTATGAAATCGTTCATTTTTTATCTATAAAGATATATTGGTACCGAAAAGGAAGAGAGCAATAAAACGGATCGCACGTCCATGCCAGCGCTGCATCTCGTTAAATTGGCAAGGTCGATGGACGGGTATCCTGCCTTATTCAGAGAGATGCCGCATTGGAATGGGCGTACGATGTGTTTTGCTGCTCTCTTCCTTTTCTGTATCCGGATATAGTAATAAAAATGTTCCTTCGAATATTCTACGATACCGGTAATTATCGTAGTAGCATCAGAATGCCATCAGAACCCAAGTAAATTGGTGGTCATCCTGGAACACCAGAAGGCCGCCAAGGGTTAAAGGAGAAAACACATCATTGTGCGACAAGCGAATTCACGATCCATCACGCAAACTCACTAAATAAAAAAGGGGCATGTTTCTGCCAATCCATTAATTTAGATTTTGATGTAACATGACGGTAGACAATGCCTCATTTCTTCATAGGATGACTGACCAAGGAAAATACGTAAGATACTTCTTTAAATTCGTAGCATGAAAAATGGCGCCAAGTACGTTGACTCTGCACTTCCCGTACAGCGCTGTCATCGTAAAGAATTACGTTAGGCACCTTCTGAGAAAACAATTAGTTCAAGGTCATGTTTTCCCAGACTTGCCAATAGTGCCGTTCATCTTGCAGTGCCGCCCTTTTTCTATACTTCACCGTTCGATAAGTCCACTCGTTAGTTTCAGCAGCCTGACAGTGACAAAGCGACATGCATGGGGGAGACTGTGATGCCCGTCAAAACAAAGGAAACCCGTGTCGAAGATATTTCTCTATCAAGTTTTGAGGACAAATGTATGGAGAAATATATGATGAGTGAAATAAGTCTGATAGGTGTGTAAAATTGGGATTGGAAGCTTACATATATACTACAACCAAAAATTGAAATATACCCTCTCCCACCACAACAACCTCCAACCCAAAATTTTCAAACACAAAAATATTTCTGGAAATGATCAAGAGCCTCTTATTTTTATTTTTAACTCTTATCTCATATTTCATTTTCTAAATTTGCCGCGGTTACAATCCGTCCTTGCCAGGTGCGTAGGAAATAAAAAGGCTATCGAGGCGATGAAACAACCACGCTAAATACGGTGTCGATGTCGTTAAGTAAAAGAAAAAACCTTCCATTTATATCAAAGATAGTATAGCCGGCACGGGTGTCATGTAAAAGACCTACAAAACTTCAAAAAAAAAAACCTATAAGATGTCAACTTGCAGACTAGGTAGTTTTTTGGGCGCAAACAATCATTCCACGTTTGCTCACTAGGATTGTTGTGAACATCCA